GAGGGCGGGGTGGAGGGATGGAGAGAGGGATGGGTAGAGGGATAAAGGGATGGACGGACAGGTGGAGGGGTGGAGGAAGAGATGGGTGGATGGACAGAGGGACAAAGGGATGGACAGAGGGAGGGATGGGTGAAGGGACACAGGGATGGACAGAGGGAGGAATGGTGGAGGGTGGAAGGATGGACAGAGGGATGGACAGGGGGCCAAAGGGATGGACAGAAGGAGGGATGGGTGGATGGACACAGGGATGGACAGAGAGAGGAACAGGTACATGGATGGAGAGACAGTGGTGGAGGGATGGGTAGAGGGACAGAGGGATGAATGGAGAGATGGATGGACAGGGATGAGGGGAGGGTCAAAGGGAGGGAGAGCTGGGTAGATGGACAGAGGGACAAAGGGATGGGTGGATGGATGGAGGGACAGGGATGGCCAGGGAGGGATGGGTGGACAGATGGAGGGACAGAGCGGTGGAGGAACGGACAGAGGCAGAGGTAGACAGAGGGATGGGTGGGCAGCTGGAGGGGAGGACAAAGGGACGGGTGGGTGGGTGGAGGGAGGGATGGAAAGCAGCCCCCTGCTCCCTTTCCTCACCTGGACAAAGCCATTGAATTTCCGGAGACCTTCGTTAGCCAGAATCTCGTTTATCGTCGGCTTGGGCACCTTCCGCAGGCCTGCAGCACGGATAACTGGGCAGGAATTCTTCCCCCAACAATATTTTGGGCTGAGCCCCCTGGGTCTGAGCCAGGAGCTCCCCCATTTCAGGGGTCACCAGCAGTGAGCTCCAGCCCAACTCGGGAAATCCAATCTGTGCGGCTTTTTAATCAATTCTGCTTAATTCTGCCCCCCCCTCCTTGCCGCTGGCAGCACTTTCCAGCCGTGAGCTGGGGTGTGGGATGTCGTGCATTCACCTGCCCCACTGCAGTTTGCAGGAAAAAAGGGAAAATGAACCCACTGAGCCCCATGCTTCATCCTCATACCTTCAAACATCACCACCTCGCCGAACCCCTCCTCTTGCTTCTCCTTAAGGAGCTGGTAGCAGGCACTGGGGCTGGCTAGGAGCAGCCGAAAACCCTGAGGAAGGAGAAAGGGATGATTTTGGCAGAGGTGTAAAGGTTGCACCCCACTTTCTTCCTCCCCTGGGGCTCGTTACCTTCCGATCGGGCGCGGGGACGAAGCTGAGGAACTCATCTACGTGGCCGACGACGAGCCAGTCCGAAAACAGCTCCACCGGCGCCTGCACTTTTTGGGCGACGAGAAAATCCTTGACGGCTTTCGCCATCCGCCGACCACCAAACCTAGGGGGGACGCAAGGAGGGGGCTGCCATTTTGGGGGGCTCTGCTTCCAACCAACTTCAAACGATACATAAAAAAAATCCCTTTTTGTTTTTTTATTTTTATTTTTTCCTGTGGTCTGACCCCTCCCCGTCCTGCATCTCACCTGGGGAAGCTGCTGCCGATCAGGATGCGGCCCAAGGGGTACTCCTTGCCCCGCACTGTCACGGGGGGGCTCACCTCCAAATTACCAAAGGAATCAAGGCTGGAAGTACCCTCCGGTGCTTGCCGGGCCACGTAACCAAAATCGGGGCCCTGGATAGGGGGAAAAAAAAAAAGGCAATAATGGTTAAAAAAAAAAGCTGTAAACACCTAAAGAGCAGCACTCCCAAATCACCCTCCATGACGGCTCTTTCCTTCCCAAAAATAGAATTAAAAAAAATATATATATTCTGTTTTTTTGCAGATTTGCAAAGCTTTATGCCTCGCTGGGCGAGGGAGGAGGAAGAGGTCAGGTACCAGGATGCGCTTGACCGGGAAATCCTTCAGCTCCCGATCCCGGGGCGAGTCGAAGACGACGGGGAAGGTCTTGTGGGGGGCTTGCACGTAGCCAAATTCGATCTCGTCCTGGAGAAGGGATGGAGAAGCTGGAGGGGAGCCCTCTGGCAGCTGGTGCAGCGAGGCTGGGGCTGAGCATCATCCTGCACCCACCTGGATCCAGCGGTCCTCGCGGTTCTCCAGCGGCGGGCAGACGGTGAGCGGGCACTTGGCTTTCTTGGCCAAGTCGCCCACAGCCGCCACAAAATCCTGGTTGTTTTCCACACTGGGAAAGAAAAACGGGATGTGAGGGCTGATCCAGCACCGGGCAGGATGCGACCGCTTACCCAGCACCCACCTGCAGACGAAAACCTCCAGCGGTGCTGCTGTGTTGGGGGTCATGATCCACGGCGCCACGCGGAAAACCACCGTGTCGGTGAAAATCGGAGTCTCCAGCGAATCCTGGGATGGCGGGGAGGCAGCGTTTGGGCTCTGCTCCCCCCCCCGTTACGGCTCACCCCAACCAGTCCCGTGGCCAGTACCTTCTCGGGGCTCTCCAGCAGTGTGACGTGGAGAGCCACCAGCCCCGAAAAGCTGGTGTCGGGGAAGGCGAGCCCCTCCACGTAGAAGACGCTCTCCTCCTGATGCCGGCTGGGTTTGACGGTGTAGGTGAGCTTCGAGCGCCCCAACACGTGCTGGTACTCCTCCAGCGCGACGCTGTCTGTGGGTGCAAGCACCGTGCAACCCCCTTCAACAGCAGCCCCCTTTTCTGCAGTGTTTTGGCTCTATTTTTTTGCTAAAAGCTTGCAAAAAAGGCGTATTGGATCCCACAGAGCACGCACTGATGGGAGCATCAGATCAGCCCCCACCCATGGGATGTAGGTTGGATGGTGCAGAAGTGGTACCCGCTCTGCTGCAAGCATTTTGCTTGAAATCTGATAATTAGGGGTGTCTGTCCCCCCCCGCAAAGCCCAGCATCAGGCACTCACTGCCACCGTAGAAAACGCCGACTTTATCCGCGTCGCTGAAGTCCACGTGGAGGATGAGGCGGTGGCCGGTGAAGATGGTGCGGGGACCTCGGGTCCGCAGCACCATCTGTGACATGTCCTTCAGGTCTGGAGGGGGAAAGGGGTGTAAGAATACAAAATTGGGGGAGAAAAAAAAAAA